AAAATGACCTTTGAATTTACAGGAAGAACAAGTCGTGTCCTTTGCTGGGCAAACTGCTAAGTGTCCTTTTGAGAATGTTCCGCCACACTTCATACAGTTGTTACTTCGTTCGATATTGAGGGTTGGTTCTCTTTTGACATTAAAGTGATTGTTTGATTTATGTACGGATGGTCCGTTGGATTTAAAATTGTTTGTTAACTTTAGTTGATTTAAAATTCCCTTTTCATCTATGAGTGCTACATTTAGTGCTTCACGTGGAGGAAGGGTTTCTGTTAACAGTTTCCTTTGGATGTCGTATTTTTTCATGTTATTTATGAAAATATCTCGTACCCACTCTTCTTCTCCTGCGGTTATGTCTTACTTTTTTTGCCATTTCAGCTAGAGCACCCCAAAATTGTTCGAGCGATTCTCTGTCGCGTTGTTTTCTGTTTAACAATTTATGTCGTTCAAATGTGACGTTTGTCTTTCTTACGAAAGCGATCGCTAGGGACTCCCAGAATTCTTTAAAAGAAATTTGTAAAACTTTCACCTTGGTAAATTTTTGTCCGAAGATCCTTTTCCCTTCATTTCCCAGTGCGAGATATAGAACCGAACGTAATTTTTTGTCAGCTTCTTCTAGTCGCATTCCGTTGAATTTCTTGGTTTCAGTTTTGATTGATGTTGATTCCTCTTCATCGTATCGTCTTTGTTCCTGGTTATTTCTCTCCATTCTCGAGCGTCTTTGGGTATCTGTTTCTCCATCCGTTGGGTTTTCCAGATTTGGAGGTTGCGGATGATGTTTCTCCGAAGGATTAAGTAAATTTTCTATGTCAATGTTCTCTTTAGCAATTATAGCTAATTGAAACAGATCACTCCAGTCTTCCCATGGAATGGGGGGTCCACCGTATGGTTTTGCCAAAATGGAGGTATTCCTCTCACGTTAGATTCGTTAGTTGACTGCGCCATGATAAAATGTTACTTTTTTGTAGCTAATTCTAAGTTAAAACTATTAAAAATAAAAGAATTAAGATGAATTAGTCGGTAAGTTAAAACATTAAAACAATGAGCGATCATTTTCTCCGCCGGAGAGAATGGCCAATGAAGGTCATATAGGAGTGACCAGTTAATTAGACTATATACGTTTTGCAACAGATGCAAAACATGGTGTACATCACAACAAGAGTAAAATCGCGTTTTGTCGGCGCGCGCTCCCCACCTTAAAATTAGTATAGACTAGCGCCAAAGGCGCCTCTAAAACATTTTAAGGTCAGTAAGCCAAAAATGGATATCTAAACATAGTACAAGGGGGACCCTTTGGATCGGCAGGGGGTCGAGTCTCTGAGAGAGGTGAAGGGGCGTCCACCCCCCTAATCCCCTACTGTGTCAGAGCGAAGTACTGATTGTTACTATTGTCTTTCCTGGAGTAGTGCTCACTTGGAGGTCTATGGAGGAGTGTCTGCTTTGGAAAAATTGATGAAAGATTTACAAAAAAAAACATTTAAAAAAAATGTTTTTTGAGGTTTTTTCTAAAATAAAAAAATCATCATCCCGAACGCTTTGGAACATTTAATGCGATACATTTTGCCTAGAAAATGTTTTCGGAAGCAATTTGTTCCAAAAGAAATGCCTAAAATCAAATGGAACGATTTCTAAGATGGTCCAATCCGCCGTTTGTCTGTAAAAGCACGTAATATCTCGTACGTTACTTGTCCCAAACTGGCCAAAAAGTTTAACTTTAGACCCTCAAAACGACTCAAAAAATAATCACAGATGAGGTGTTTGCTGTGTTCATTTTCGAGCTCAAGGCATCAATACTCAAGGCATCAATAATTTATTGTTCCGACTTTCGATACGAAAGTAACGGAATATTTGTGCTCGGGGTGGGTTTTTTTTTCTTCAGACAAATTTCGACTTTTTAACTAGCCATTTTTGACGGAATTTTTTATATCATTCGAAAGGTATTGTTGTCCTGAGCTCTAATTTGAAAAGATATTTCACCTGTGATAATTTTTCGTAAAATAGTGGGGGTTTAAAGATTGCCATTTTGGCCAATTTGGGACAATTAACGCGCGATATATTTCACGCTATTAACGCGTAGCGGAGAGTTAATCCGTCTTAGAAACCGTTCCAAATTGGCTTAACGAAGCTTATTTGCCATAATTTATTTGTTACAAGTAGCGAAATATATCCTTTTGTACTTTATATGCCGTGTGGGGTGATGATTTTTATAAAAAATTTCAAATTTTAGAAGAAAAAATTTTTTCATTTTGTTTTATTTTTTTAAAATTTTTTAATGTTATTACTGCTCCATAAACCTTAATAGGCAGTCGGAACATTCAAGGCTTCGCCCTGATACGAGCAGTCTTGTTTTGCTTTTTTATTTAAAAATTCAGATTGCTAGTTAAAAAGCCGAAATTGTATGGAGTAAGCGATTTTCAAAAAATACTTAATTACTTAAAATTATTAAGAAGTTTGTCTAAAAATTACATCGAACGCGAAAATTTCGTCATTTTGTTCGAAATCAGAACAACAAAGTGCAGGCAAAAAATTTTTTCAATTATGAGCTCAGGGCAATATCTTTTAGGCTGCTTAGAAGTTTCTTCAAATTTTGTGGCGTCTTTGTGGCTCAATTTTGCAAAGTTTATCTGCAGCGTAGAAACTTTGTTCTGACTCAGATATTTTGGACTGACTCAGATAAAAATTTCGTTCTGACTCAGATAATTTAGTTCTGACTCAGATTCCAAAAATCACAGCTCAAAATTGTTATGTCGCTTTAAAACTAAATTTTAATAGAGATCAATTCGCAAAAAAAAGGTATAATGATTTACATTGGGTAAAATTTGTATACATTTGGCTGTATCTAATCTAACGTACAGGCAATTATATAAACTTTATTCTGAGCATTTGTGTCAACCGCTTATTTTTCAAATGTCTTGTGTAATAAAGCCAGTTTGTCTTTTTGCTTAATTCTATTCAAAGTACTTACTGTAGTATATGTTGTTCTGGATCCACAATTGAAAAGTAAAAAAGACCCGATTTTCCTGGTTACATTTACTTTTTACATCCATAAGGTTTCAAGGGCTTCAATGAACTGAATGCTGAATTACTTATCGACTCTAAAATAAGTTCAAAAGGAAAGAAATTGTAAAAGGGGGCAATTCTGTAATTCATACCTAAATTGACGCATTGTCTGTTTCTTTCCCACTTGAGGAAATTAAATTGCAAACTTATTAGCAGTAACTGAAAACGAGTAGCAACTTTTTGCTACCGATGATAGATAGCAGCAGACATTTTCAGCAGATCGCAACTTGTAAATTAAGAAAAAAATAAAACTTCCAATAAGTTGGCAGAATTTTAACCAATTGTCAATCTTAGACTATTAACAGAGTAAACATTTTGAAATCATCAAAAAAAAATCAAATATACAGGCGTAACTTTTTGCCAATATTTCTTTTTCAACAAACTTGAGAAAAAACCATCTAAGTTTTAAAGGTTTTTGAAAAATATTAATTCAGTCAATTGAGATCAAACCTAAGAAACCAACCCAAGTACAACTCAGGGCGGTGTTGAGTTACAGAGCCGAACGCTCGAACAGCAGAAAAAGTATATTCGCACCCTGATAGCCAATAAAGTAGCATATTCACCCGAAAAAATATAATTCAGCTATCAGGCCACGCGAGCATTCGACTATGTAGGTACACTCCCTTAGGGTGACTATGTTAGGCAAATAAAGAAAAGAACGTCAAAAGAAAATATCGACGGGTACTTACACTGAGATACTCTTATTCTTATTCGGCTCCTCAGGGATATTCATTCTCTATTTCTATTTCACAACCAATTTGGCATTAAAAATGATCTTCTTTTGTTATTTTTGACGGATATACCATAGCAATGGATCTCAAAGCAGCATTTTAAAGCGCACACTCAAAGAACGAGTGAAGTTTTTCTCTATTATGCTAATGAATACTCCCTGAAGACATTTTTTATGGGTCAGATGGTAAAGATAGAAGTTTTAAAAACTGTCTCTATTTCAAGATCCAGTATCAAGTGTTGACAGTTTCTCAAATACTTGGGAAGCAAAAATTTAAAACTTTTTGTTTCCTGAATCAGAAGGTATAGCTTTTACAACTGACTAATGTATGTAATAAATTATAGTTTTGTGACCATGGACTTTTTGCAGGAGCAAATTATATAAAAAGATTTGTATCAGATTCCCGCAATACGAATTCGAGCAAATTAATTTACCACAAGGCCTTTTTTTACACTTTTGCAGTTTGCAACTGGAAATAATTAATCAGCTCGGAAAACAAGAAAGATTGCTCTTTTTCTTCAAAACCACGCACTTCAGTTCAACTTCCAAAATGAACCAGAAAACGATCAATTGATTAAATTTTGTCTCAGACAAAAACTTGTCTTTAAAGTTCTGAGTGCAGATGGGTGGAGTTAAGAGTTACAGCTTTTATCGGAACCTTTGTACTTGGTACCAGTTCTGTGCAAGAAAAGAATAAAAAAGTATGGACTCTTGCTAACCTCCCCCTATGAAGGAAACATCCGACTCTATTATAAACTAACATACCGGTTAAGCATACAAGCAATATTGATCCTAGATATAAGTTTCCCTTTTTCTAAAAGGGTAAAGGGGACTACTGTAAACAAGATCTGGAGTGTTTCTATCAAAAAACTGCCTAATATCCTTAGGCGGTAAATTCCATAATGGTATGCATATTTCTATTCGGTGAAGAGGATGTCTTTTCAATGAAAGAGTAAAAGAAAAGGAATCAAATGCACCCGGCGGGCACTTGATAACACTATGAAAGGGTAAAGAAGAGCTCACGTGGAATCTTTTTAAGTCGTCTTTAAAAAAAGAAAACAATGGAATGAAACAAAGCATGAAAAAGATTACAAAAAATGAAAAAAAAAACATTTTAATTGATGAATTAAGCATTAAGGTTACACTAACGTATTTCTCTTTCAAAATCTTTCGGAAAATCAAAAAAGAAAAAAGTGAAAATCATTCTTACCTAATTTTTCTGGTAAAGTTCAGGGTTCTAACCTTGAGGGGTTTAATAATATCAGCTGATCAATGAAGTATAACCTATTAACCGCAACTTGCTGCTGCCATAATGAAGATAACAGAAGTTATCAGCAAAACAACAAACCAGTCGAGTTCCTCAGAATTGCCTTTCTCCCTATATCCACGCCTGCAATATAATAAGGTAGGTGCTTCGCCTCAATAAATTGATCCATGCACCTGTTAACATGAGAGGGTAACCACAGATTTTTCGCATATACACGCTAAATTAATTGTTATTACCACCTGAAATTATCAACTCCTCGATAAAAAAGATAAACCGATTTTATGATGATCATATAGCTTCTATCTTTGTAGATAAAAGCTCCGAGAATTTGTCTCAAATTATGGATTTTTGATCTTCATGATCCAAAGTCAGGCGGCGAATTTCAGAAAAAAGATATTTAGACGAGATCAAAGCCGTGTATAGTCACAATACTGCTCGTATATCAGGGCAAAGCCCTGATTGTTCCGTCTGAACTTTAGTAGGTCTCAAATACTTTCAAATCGTCTCTAAAAATCAAATTTTGATGAACTATAAATTTGTGCTGCTACTATTAAACTTAAGAGCCGAAATTTGATCAGACATAAAAAAACCAACTAGTTGGATTCAATTAGATTGGAACGATTAAGAGGGCGGTTAATTTGCACAAAAAAAATTGCATTTTGAAAGTGTTAGTGAACATTCATCGAGCAGCTATTCTATCCTCTTGGTTTGAAAACAAAACCGGAAAATAAAACCGGTTTGAAAATAAAAATCTTCCTAAAACTCTTCGAAAACCGGAACTATAATAACTCGGTAAATGCACTCCGATCATATTATTTACAGTTCAAGATACATTTTAAGTATCACGAGAATCAAATTTTTGCAGCAATTTTCCTAGGAAAATCTCTTTTATAATTCAGAAAAATTTTCATGAAAATTTCTATTCTTATACTAAGAGTCAGGTATTTTGGGCTTACAGCTGAAAATTTTCTTTTACACATTTGCTCTCATTTGTGATTTACAATAAGACAATCAAAAGCACATTGAAGCTTTTTTTCTTTTTGGTTATCGGTGCAAAAATTCTACTTTCATTTTTTTTTTATTTTGGGGCTGAAACAAAATTACACTGCGATGGAACGGAACTTCGCACATCTTGCAGTACAAAATCATCAGCTGTATGAAAACAAATTGCAAATCTATTTCCTACTTTTCAAAAACTACAATCAATCTATTCTCTTTCAAACTTTGTAATCAAGAACTCATGTGGCGAACTCTAAACACAGACGATGGTTTAAAAAAGAGAAAAAATCAATATTTAAAAAAAAATTGTTATCAACTAATTCTATACTTTCATATATCTCAAAACATGAAGCACCAATCATTCCAACATTTTAATCGGACTAAAGCGAACAGAACAAAGTAAAAACTTCTGAAAGTAGAAACTCTCTGTAGCTTAAACAAAACAAATTTAAAAAATTTTTTTTAGTACTTGCATCATAACTGGAATAAATCAAACTGATTTTCCTTAATAGAACAAACCTGTTAAGTGAGAAAAAACCCAAAATGTGGATAAACAGCCAACAAGAAATATGTAGACAAACAATAGCACCGCCAAATAAAGATCTCAGGACGAGATCTTATGAACTTCTAAAAAAAATTACTGTTTTCGATGAAGAATGTGCGTTATCTTAATCAAGAAGCAAAAAAAACAGGAATATGATATGCAAATAAAAAAGATGATTCCGCTAAACTACTTTTTAGAGTGCCAAAAAATTCAGTACTTAGTTTCAACTACAAGGGTAACGATTTTTGAAATAGTTACCCTTTGCGGCGAATAAAAGATCAAAACTTCAAAAAAACTCTGCTTTGGTGTGAATAAAAGATCAGAGTTCAAAAAAGAGGAAAAAAATTCATCATAAGCAAACGTTTTTGTGCTAGCAAGCAAACTAAGCCACTAAAAATCCATATCGTAAGCTTAGAGAAATCTGGAAGCAAATTCCACATCACGAGTTGGACGCTGATTTGAGTACCAAGTGACAGTTATGTATTGCCAAGTACAATAATTATTAAAAAAATTAATTTCAAAAAAATGGAAAAAGAACTCCAAATTATATTTTTGTTAGTTTGGAACAAATTTGTTAATGCCAACGGAGCGCTAAATGAAGCTTCAAAAAACTTCCTGAATTCCTAAAACTTTTTTTACATCCTGAATTGAAATTTTTTGTGCCGTTTTCATACATATAAGAGCTCACAAAATAGATGAAAAACGGTTGATATTTAGATAAAAAACTTTTTTGGAATTTTAAATATCCATCATTTTGCAAAGTTACATCTTACTCAACACATTTCTAAAAAGCTCTGGGTTTTCTTGCCTCACTTTTTTGCTTAAAAGCGTGCTCATTTCAGTGGCACAGTATTGGCAGTTTTCTAAACAGTTTTAATTGAATAAGTGTGGAAAAAAAAACAATAATTGGAAAAAGCACTAAAAAACAATTTGACAATAATTTATAATGGATTAAAACTAATTTTTGAAAGCCTAAATTGAATTTTTACGATTAGTATTTATGAGTTTTTGAGATTTTTAAGGTCGCTTAAATCACAACAAGAAATGCTTTATTCCGATGTATTATTCAATGGATTTCGATGATTTTTTTGTGGTATCAGTTCGCGTGGGAAAAGAAGAAAAACTAACAAACATCCTAAAACATCCTGAGAAAAAGAAAAAAACCGAAAAGCCGGTATTTCAATTCAGATAGCACTAGTTAAAATGAGAGCATTGAATTCATTAATATAGTGTATCCAGTGTATCAAGCATTTGCAACATCGCCGAAGAAGTTTCTTATGCTAAGGTAGCGTTTTTATAAGACTTTGATATCTTTTAATTGACCAAAATCAAACCTTTATTCTCAACCACGCAATTAAACTTAAATCCAAAGATATCCGCAACACGCAGAAAACCAATTTGTCGCGGAATCTAGAACATTTCTAGTTTTTAATCTTCATTTTGCTGTTCTGAATTCCGCGAAAAATTAGCAAACTCACTGTATTGCTCAAATTGCTCCAAAAACAGGCAATTTTTTCAGCGGAATAAGCAAAAAATGTAAACAAATTCCGCTTCCATTTGCGGAAATCGCTTACATTTTGCAGAATTTGCTTTGATTTGCGGAATACGGAAGAACAGGTAATTTCACTCGTTGCGGAATCCAAGGAACCAAGGAAAAAGAGTGGAGTTCGCAATAATTTCCTCACTTTTTGAGTTTATGTTTCACCGACAAAATTGAGTTGGGAAATAAATATCAAACGGTAGCCAAATAATGCTAAAAAGGCAAGTAAAAAGTTTTCATTCGAATTCGATAAGTAGTTTGCTGCTAAAATTTTTACTCAGGAGCCGCAATAAAAAGTTTTAATAAAAGGTTTCTTTTTTTATTGAAACTTTACCATATTTGCAATTTTTGGTTGATGCGTTGATCTGATGAGAAGAAAAATAAGCCATACATTCACATTGGCTCCGTTTAATTCATTGACATTGTGTAAAATTGCATCTTATTGTGATCCAGGCAACATTCAAACTGGTATTTGGGGTTGCTTCTGTTTTTAGGACTCAAATCTGGACAAAACATTGCAAAGATCTCGTATTTCACAGCAAAAAGAATTTCTGCTCACTAATACACGATGCAACGTTGTAATAATTATGATTGGAAGTGGCTTTGAAACGTCTACAAGCGTGTATTTTACAGAATTTCAAAAAAAAATACAAAATTTTCAAATAAAAAATTAATTAAAATTAAATGGATGAAACAAAATGATATATGTCGATGTGTTTTTGATACTCATAAAACATTTTGAAAATGAGAAAGAGGTTAAGCTACAGAGCAATGAATTCCCCCGCTTAGATTACATAAATAACAGCGGGTTCAACTGACCTAATTAGAGAACGAACTCATACAGAGGTTTCGACGGAAAAAGTTTACCGTGTTGGACGGTAGTTCTTACTTCAAATCGCAGTGACACAATAGAACTGTTGTAGAGCTGTTGAAAAAATCTAGAGTTCGCGACAAGAGGATTTTTTCATTTCCACTGACAAAACTGCGTTGGGACATACTTTCCTGGCAAAAAAAATTTCTTGGTTTCTTTACAAAATAATATTCAAAAATTGTAATCAATACTTAACAATTTTTCCTTTGCACAAAAGTTTTGTCATTTTGACGGTAAATCAAACTAATGTCTTCGTGATTTAAACACGAGAAAACGAGAGTAATTGTAAAGTGTAATAAATCTGTCTGTATCGTACAATATTTAGAGTTAGTTGCAAATATAATTTCAGGCGGTTGATACAGAGGTCAACTATGATTCGACCTCCTGCCGGCCGACCCTTTGTACTATTTTCCAATATCCACTTTTGGTGATGGACCCTAAAATTTTTCTAAAGGCGCCTTTGGCGCCAATATAGAGTAATTTTGATGGGGGAGGGCGCGCCGAAAAAATGCAACTTATTGGTCAAAATTGTCCAAAAATGCTTAAAACACGCCTTTTTTGGCGGCACAGAAAACTTTGTCAAAAAAAAGTGCTTTGGGAGAGCTCAAAAAATCAACCTGGGCGACCTTAAAAAAGGCCGACAAAATTTTCGAAAAACATTTGGAAATCCGCCCCCCCCCCCCTTGAGAAATTCCTAGATCCGCCCCTGGTTCCGATCTAAGCGAAACACCGCTCCTTCTCATCAAGTACTTTTTCTCCATTTTTACGATATGTGGTGTTAACTTTTCTAATTTTTGGTCAACTGGTTTTTTACCCGTTTTTTTTGAAAGACTGTCGCCGATGCTTTAGGCGTCCTCCGCTCTCTTTGCTTGAGTTCAGAGGGAGCGTTTCGATGCGTTTCGATGATTGTCCAGCTCGGCTAATCCTTGTTCTTCCAGAAACCCCGTGCTCGTCTATTGGGGGGGGGGCTCATTACGAGGCCAAACTGTGCACTGGATAGGCGCACAATTTTGTGTCTGTATGTTCCTGGATTCCAAAAACTAATCTTTAAACATGTTTCAAAATGTAAGGGAGGTCCACTTACAAAACTTCCGTGGATTCCGGGTATATATGAATGTAACGTAAATTTTTTCGGCACATTTGTTGTGTCGCGGATTCCGCAACAAGCGAATATAGCTATTTGTTTTGGATTCCACAACT